CTGTAACAAAAAAAAAAAAAAAAAAAAAAGAAAGGCAAAGTTATCAAACTAACTTTGATAAAATTAAATCCATTGCAGCTAAACCTTGGAAACGAATCAAATTCACCCTTACCTCCAACTCTGTATCTGTTTAAAAGATTAAAAAAGAAAAATAGTTCATTACAAGGTCAAATGTCATCTTATCCCTTAATTTAAAAAGTTAAAGCCAACCCAAAAGCAAATGCAAAATATCATCTCCAGTTGTCAAATCATGGGGAAAAGGTCTATTAGTAAGGTCTATCTCACTAAGATGAAACCATTACCTAGGATGGTAATAAATAATGAGTTTTAAAAACAAAAAGATATTCAGAGTACTAATCAAATTGTTTCATCCCTCACATTATCCCAAAAAAATTTTACAAAACACATGTAACATATTTTAAATCCAGAAAGCAGACATAGAAAAAACACTAAAGGCAACTGTAACAGAGATGCTTTTACATAGCCTGCAGTGTGCAATTGTCATCAAACAGCTATTCAGAATTCCATTTCCCCAAATCTCCTTAAAAAAATCTTCCCATGTAAAATATTCACAATGTAAAAAAATGAAATGGCTTAACACAAAGAAAATTTATCACATCTAATCCAGGCATGACAAAATAGGGAGCCAATCTTTATTATTAATAATACTCACATCAATTAAGTAAAAGATACACCCAACTTCAGGATCAATCGAGTTTTCCTACTCATCAATCATAATAGAATGAACTTGTAAAAGTTACTCATGAGCAAGAACCAAGCATAATTATTAAGGACTAAGATATAAAGAACCAACTAGTCACCAAAAATAATCTACAAATTATATAATCTATTTTTGGACAATCTCGGGTGATTATATTAAAATTTAAATTCAGAGATTCCCAAATCTCATCTGTTTTTAAGCAATTAATTTCTTTTGTGCTCATTAGGGGGAAAAAGTATGTTTAATCAATTTACAAGTTCAATGAACCACATCTTATTATGACTATGAATAAGCAATGAAGAGCTAAATAAGCATCAAATTTTGGAACCAAAATAAATATTCCTTAAAGAAAAAAAACTGAACACTTATTTCTTGCCTTTTCATCGCTGATGATTTTCAGTACTTTGCATCTGTACCAACACTTATCTTCAGAAAATAATCCACCGTAAATCTACAAAGAGAAAAAGAAAGCAAAATTATTTGGCACTTTTTTTTTTTACTTTTTTTTTTTTTTTGAGACAGAATTTCACTATGTTGCCCGGGCTAGAGTGCCATGGCATCAGCCTAGCTC